GAACTCTGGAGCGAGAAGTACTGGCATAACTGGTGGTCAGCCGTTTCCATGCTTCGCGAGAAGTTTCGGCTGAGGACAAGATAGGCTGGATTGTATGGGTGCAACTGCCGAGAATGGCGCTTAGGATAATTTGGTCTTGTCGGAACCATCCGGTGTATTCCGGGTTTGGTTTGGTTGAATCTTTGTCGGTGATAAACTTTGATGGAGGTTGTTGTTCTCCGTCGATGAAGCTGTAAAGATTCAGCCCGTTAAGTGTCGATTGAATCTGTTTCCTCCACATGGGAAAATTGTTGGCATTGAGTTTGATGGGAAAGTGAGTAGTTGCTGTGATGTGAATGATAGTGCTTGACATTTTTGGGTTAGGAAGAAGATGGAGGTTTTCTTATTTTGATTAGGAAGCAAGGATCGATTTCTCGTATGAGTAAATTGGATGCTCTGATACCATAAAGAGGTGCAGAGGAATTGCAAGATTGAAAGCTGTATATATTATTGAACAATTGTCGTGGTTTTATACAGAGGATAAAATAATTGGAAAGAAGCAATAATTGGCTAAACATATGCAATATTACAACAATTAACCAAATATAAAATTATACATTAAATGGATTTTGAATCTGAGACTGACTTTCCTTTTGCTTGAGATATTCATTGAGTCGTAATAATGCCAACTGACCACTGTACTCCCCAAACGTCACAAACTTCTTACCCTAAAATTGGATCCAAACTCGCAGATGATTCAACCCTTCTCTCCGGTCTACCGATCAAAACTTCTCTCAAAACGACAATGATCGGTACTGTTGAAGATGATATAATCATGGATCAAGTTGATGCTCCATAGATTGTTGCTGATTTTGAAATTGGGCAAGATGAAGCTGTAGACATTAAAGACAAAGAGGTCAACAAGCAGAAACTAAGGAGACGTGTTGATCAATACAAGATTGAATTCCGAATTCCATGTCGAAAGGGGAAGAAGCTTCTTGTATTGGATGTAGACTATACTCTCTTTGAACATCGGTAAACAGCAGAAAACCCGCTTGAACTCATGCGCCTTTATCTTCATTGCTTTTTATCAGCCGTTTATCCAGAGTATGACATCATCATATGGTCTGTAACAAGCATGAAATGGGTGGACAGCATGGAGTACCGAGTAATCTTGATTACAAAATTGTCCCCTGAACTCTAACTTTCATTAAACAATGGTATTTATACATTAATAATAACACGCTAACATCCGACAGAACAAGGTTATTGCTTTTGGATGAGAAACATGCATACAAATCATTCCATTAAATGCCTGAGGCAATTAAGGTATTCTCATTCCATCTTACTTTACCTGATTTATGAGTTGATTATATGTACTTGAACATCTATTTTCTTTAGGCATGCTTAACATGATCACCATTTGAACTTGTCAGATGCAAGTTGACTTTGTTTTACCAGTTTTTGGCAAATGGCAAATGAGTGTCGTATCCAACTATCCATTACAACCAGTAAAACTCCCAACTAAATTTACCTTTTTACCCCTCTCTTTTTCCCTATTCTGCAATATAGCTTTCAGTGTGATTCCCTTAATAAAGTTTATATCTTGGAATGTTTTGAATCATGATTATACAAAAATTACAGATTTTAGAGGCTTTGCTTCCAAAGGATATAATAGTCCATTGACTTTTTGAGACTTTGGGCCATATCATCTACTTTAATTAACTTGAGGGATGAACATATTTTATATAAGAATCTTATAGAAAAAGTTGTTTTGGACAAAACAAGGCAAAAATACAACCAGTTGTCAACAAGATTGATTCTATCTATAATGACTTTACAACCATGCCAGCCAGTGGAAGTTTTGGTTGGAAATCATTCTGTTGTGACAAGATTAGTAGAAAATGGACTTCATTTTTCATGTTCATTGGGAAACACTGTACCAAGGTTTCTTTCTGAAAACTGGTCACAATTAAAACATATTTGTTTCCCTCATTGAGTCCCAACTTTTAGTAGGTCATAGTTTCCATCCCTGAGTTTAGCACTTTTACGGTTTTGGTCCCAAAATGTTTCTTTTGTAATTCTGATCCTTATTACAAGGCTTTATATCTGTTTTCGTCCATGGATCGTTAAATTTAACCACACAAACCTGAAATCCGTTTTAAATGACTTTTTTACCCTTAGACCAAAACTTGTATACCACATAGTTCTATTTTATAAATTTCTCTTATTTTTTAATCAAAGGTTATAACTTTTAGTGTAAATATGCAAATATGGTCCCTGTTCTTTTTTTATTTTACCATGTTTAGTCCAAAATTGAAACCTTTTCATTTTTGATCCTTATTTCAAGGTCAAAGGCTCAAATTCGTTATTACATATATGTTTAATTTTTTATTAAATTTGTAGGATAATAGATTGATTGATATTCAAAAGACATTTACATAGGGATATATAGAAAATACCTAAACCCTAATCACTGAACCCTAAAGGGCTTGGGCCTAAACCTAATCACTAACATCCCCCTACAATTTGAGCGGGTGGGGATGATTAAAATGGAAAAAACAGAAAACATGAAACATAACATAAATGAGGACAGCGGTGGCAGAGCTCTAACGATGACAGCTAACAACTACTCATCAGAGGAGAGAGAAGAAGTGGCGGTCAGCGGTGGTTCCTTTGTATAAGAAGAGAGGAGCGGCAACGATCATCGAGTCAGCGGCAGAGGAGTCCAGAGAAAAGCAGCAAGCAGCAAGAAAGAAAGAGGACTCAATCTACGGTGGACGGAGCCTATTCCGATTGACTCAGATATGAAGAAGAGGCGAGTTGAGGAGAAGGCAAAAAGCTTAGAGGCAGAAGCCATCTGACGAGGAGACATAAGCAAACGAGGCAGCAAAAAAATGCGAGGTAAGAACTCTAGTTTGGTGTCGGCGGCTGTTTTATTATTTAGGAGGAGAAAAAAAACCGAAGGAATATGAAGCATAATGAAGGCACCTCCGACGACTATGAAAGAATGTCGTCAGAGGTGGAGGGCGACGGTAACAGGGTGTGGTCAGCGATAGAATTTTAACCTAGAGTTCTGATACCATGTAAGATAATAAATTGATTGATATTCAAAATACAAGTACATAGGAATATATAAAAATACGTAAACCCTAATGGCTAGACCATAAAGGGTTTGGGCCTAAACCTAATCACTAACAAAATTAATTTTCTATAATATTAAAGTCTTCCTTCAGTTGTTTGTGGCGAAAATACAAGAAGCGAGTATTGTGTTAAAATGAAATGTAATTGACCAGCTTAATGCAACAACACTACTAGAAAAAGTGTAATATAATACGGTTAAAAACATGAATATATTACGTACGTTAAGCCCGTATTAGTAGAGGGGTGTATTATATTACATGCCTAATAGAGTACGGCTACTTTATATGTATCCTATCTACTTTTTACAACCATCGCATACAATCATCTAATACGCCATATATATACATCTAATACACCATAAACGACCGTACTTGATGTCACATCCCCCATTCAAGCAATCCATTCCTGACTGTATTCCAGCCCATTCCTGCATTGCGTTCCAGCCTTATTCATCACCCACTTCCATTCCATGGATGCTGCTGTGGAACACATGGATCACCATTCCAACTGAAACTAACTCTTCAATTTCTGCAAAGCTTTTACTACAACATAAAGAAATAATTTTTACTTCATAAGAATCCTTTTCAAAGCTTCAAATTCCAACAAATGTTTTAATAAAGATGTACCTCCATCAATTGAAGTTTCTGACTAAGTGCAATAATAACTCTCATGATTTGGTGCTACTGAATACTCATCTAGAGTTATTGATTCCCAGCTCAAATTTCCCTGTAGAAGTAGGGAAGGTGAAAATAAAAGTAATCATCACTAAAGATCATTAAGGTGAAAATGAGTTATAAAATTCAGCTTTCAAGATATATTTAGAGATTAGATATATTTTATACTTATAATAGAGTTTTTATGTATCAACAAAGCAATATAGAATTCAGATTAAAGTAAACCTGCTGCTGCAAGCGAGCTTCAAAGGTCATAATATCCTGCTCTAAGTTAACCTAAAGTAACACGGATCCATAAAATTAGCATAAAAATAGTGCTTAAATAGGTCCAAAAAGGAACAGAAGAAGGATATATTAATTATATCTATATGCATATATAACCTTTCTTTACTTCAAATGATTCTTCTTTTTATTTGCATGGGCATGTTTCTTCTTTCATTATACTCTTCAATACTTAAAGCACCTGGAGCACTTGATGTTCCAACTTCATTAAGAATATTATTAGAGCTATTTAACCAAACACAATTTCATAAACATCTTCAAGTTTACAAACTGCCAAAAATTACCTATGAAGACTATATGCAACTGCTCATCCCCTTCAGACATCAAACTCGTATTCTTCACATCCATACAACCCTTCAAAACCATAAACAATAGTTTGATTTTTATTAAGCAAACATAGCATACATTATTGAATAGTTAATTAACCCCAATAATTAGGAAAATAATTGAACAAGATTGGTACCTGGAAGAGCTTATGGAGTATCATGTTGTTCTAATTACTAAGACACCCTTGAGAAACATCAATCGGATCCCATACACACTAGTTCAATAGCTATCCCTAATTAACGAAGAAAACTAAAAACTAAAAACCATCAAAAGTCGGTAAGGAAGAATACAAAGAATACAACATACACGATAAAACATATATACAAACAAAATATTTTAACCATAAGTAAGGACTGTATTTCTTGCCTTAATAAAGTCTGTCAAGCCAGGGAGGAAGAAGGAACGTCCATAGGTGGATAATAAAATAAAAACAAAGGCCGAGTAGCGATGAAAACCAACCCTATCTCCGATGCATATGATCCTTTTTGTCCTACATAATCGATCGTATCACAATAATCTATCATACATCGGATCTGATATCCAAAAAATGAAAGCCTTGTTATTAGGTCAAAAAAGGGAGGAGGCGGTGCTCCGATGATCTTCGGGAAGAGGAGAGGTGATGGTGTGGTGATCGTCGAGAAGAGAAGACATGGTGGTGCGGAAGTTGCCGGGAGGAATAGAGGAGTGGAGGCTTGGAGAAGTGGTTGTGAGATGAAAAAACGAGGACTCTGTTTTTATTACACTAAAAAAAGGCGGACACCAAAATCTAAATCTAAATATTTGATAAACATAATAAAGTATTTTTATGGTATTATAGGGACAAGAACCTTCGTTTATAATACGGATTTTGTTACAACCGTATTATAATACAGTGTACTCTATTTGCCATTTTCTAGTAGTGATTTTTGTATGTTCTATTTACGGGTGACAAAATCATCTCTATCCAAGCACCATGATGTTCTTTCTCGGTCGAGTGTTGAAGCTAAATACCATATGCTGGTAAATGTAGCCATCAAATAATGTTGGATTTGCAATCACCACTACAAAATTCATTGCCCTTCCACCATGGCTGCCATTTCCTATTGTGACAATTTAAATATTGTATACTTAACCTCGATTCATGTGCAACATTGATGCATGAGGCCCATAAGATTATGATTCATTTCGTTTGGGGATCAAGTAGCCTTGGAGAAATGGATTTATTATCCAAAATGTGAAAATAAAATGATTTCATTGATAAAAAAAAATCAAATGGTTTTATTGTACAAAATAATAATATAATGTGTATATTGAAGAATAATAGGTTGAGTTTTTCTAAAACCATAAATGTTATTTAAGCGGTTGTCAAATGTTTGTCGGTTACGATGCCTTGGTTTAGAGAGTTCCAAACAAATATAAAGATTTTTTTTGGAAATTGATCTTTCCTAACGAGGGTTTCCGGACCAGCTTTCGTGTATCGATTAATCCCCCGCTGCGAACATGTAACTATGACTCATGTCCTAGAGTCACTGCATGCGAACATACATGACCACAGTGGCTGTAGTTCCAAGATTTAAACATGGGTCAATAGGTTATCCATTATATCTTCCACACATCTTAAAAGATCACTACAACCTAAGTGGCCACAAATTTAGAGATTTTAACGAACTAAAAGCAATATAGTGGATTTTTTAAATGGCCGATGAAAATAGGTTGGATTTTTTTTTTTTTGAGGTTTGTCATTTTAAAATCAACATCAATATTTATTAGTTTTACACTAGCTTTATAAATAGCATATCGTGTTTTAAACTATTAAAAATATCAAAAATTTATGTTTGTTTGAAAAGTAAACTTAAATTAAATACGCTAATAAACTGATATCGATAAAACAACATGACAAACAATAATATTAAATATAAACTATTATTATAAAATAATAATGTCTATATTACATAAGTTCAAAATTGAAGGACTATTTTTTATGACATGACAAACAATATTATTAACATATAACATATTAATTTTTTTTAGAAGTATAAAATGTAAATTTTAGTGTTGAATATGTGATTATTCCATAACTAAAATGTCAACTTAGTATTTTTTTATTACCTATCAGTTATGGAGTGGGAATGGGATATTGAATAAAAGTCAAACGAAGTTGTCCCTGCTGACATGCATCATTTCTTAATTCTTACAACCGTTGCAGATCCAGGCTTTTGCTTTAAGCGTGTTCTTTCACAAATACGAAGACACGAACACACTAATAACCTTAATTTCATTAAGGACAATCCTTGAGGTTTGATGCTTTCAATTTATTAGTAAGTTCATAATCATTATTTTCGTCTATTATTTATCATGATCTTATCGTTATCTGCTGAGATTGAAAATTTTGGGTTTTTAGTAATATGATTTGTGATTATGATTATTTGAGCCAAATAATTATGAATAATGAGAGTTTTGAGAATTTGCTCGAACTGTTTGACATATAAGTTGTGTTTTCGTGTTGTTGGGAAAGGGCTGCTGTTCTTGATAATGAAGTGTTCTTGTCTATTTTCTAATTGAAAGTGTATCTTTGGATCAAGGTATTATGGATATTAAGAACGTCCCTTCTTCTCTTGTTGACGAGATTGCGCCTATTCTTGGTGTTGCCAATGAAATTCAATCGGACAACCCAAGGGTTTCCTATATTTGTAAGTTCCCCACACAGATTAACATCATATGTTCACACAATCACACACACACTCACATATATGTTTTTGAAACTTTCTAAGATATAGAAGCAAGTCCTTGTAATTATAAAGGACTGGATGATATAGGGGCAGACATATATCAATTGTTGTCTTCACTCTTTTTAGAAGGGATATGAGTACTATTATTTTCTTCCTTCAATGTACCCCTTTTGATTGCTTGCATTCAAATGGTAGATATAAGAAACCTTTTTGTATATAAATAATCAGGTCGGTTTTATGCTTTAGAAAGAGCCCACACACTAGATCCAATATCAAGTGGTTATAGGGTTCGTCAATTCAAGGATGCCCTACTTCTGCACCTAGAAAGGGTATGTGTTCTCTTTGGTTTCACTTAGTGAATTTGACCAAGTGCATAAATGGCCATATCATTATTTTACTGCCACTGCCTCCTTGTTTCACTTAGATACCATTTTCTATTTTAGGAAAACAAAGCAACATCAAGAGGAGAAAGAAACAGTGATGCTCATGTTATACAAGCCTTTTACCTGCATTTTAATAGAAATTATATGCATAGCTTGCAAAATGCAGATAAAGTTGATCGGTAATCATACATAATCTTGGTTTAGTTTTTGTTGTCTATTTATTATATATGACCTAATCTTATTGTTGAAATGTTCTTCTAATGGCAGTATCCGCGTTGCAAAAGATTACCAAAAGGCTTCTGTTCTTTTTGAGGCTATGAAGGCTGTCAGTCTTTCAGATTCTATTGAGGTACCAAATGAGGTAAATGCTGGATATCTTCCCTGAAGAAATTCATTTGTTCATTCTTTACATTTCTTGTACTTTTTTAAAATTATTGTTGTGTATATGTTCATAGATATTGGAAGCACATGCAGAAATGTATATTCATAATATGCTTACACTTCACCCTGAAAGTTCAAATCAAACACGAGAAAAACTTCCTGAGGTTGGTTGAAGAAATTCATTTGATGATTGGTTATCTCTCTTAATGCAATTTTTGTGAATTATTACGGTGTATCTGTGCATAGATATTGGAAGCACAGATGAAGCAGACAAACCACCACAAAATCCCCCTCCAAACCATAAAAGATTGCACCCAAGAGTTTGACGAAAAAAATCTCATCGGAAATGGTGGATACGGAAGGGTCTACAAGGGAATCCTCTCATGGGCGCATGTAAACAAGCTAGTTGCTGTAAAACGGCTAGATGTCACCGGGTTTCAAGGTAACAAGGAGTTCCACACAGAAGTCTCAATGCTTTCTCAGTATCAACACAAGAACATTATAACCCTTATAGGGTTTTGTGATGATAACAAGGAAATGATCCTTGTTTATGAATACGCAAGCAATGGAAGCCTCGACACATATTTGCGTGATACTACAATGTCGGGTGGATTGTCGTGGCCACAACTCCTTAACATATGCATTGGTGTTGCTTCTGCATTGAACTATCTTCATAATCATGTGGCAGAAAAACACAGAATAATACATCGCGATATAAAAAGTGCAAATGTTTTGTTGGATGAGAATTGGAATGCAAAACTTTCGGATTTTGGGTTGGCTAGGATAGGTTTAGCGCATCAGCAAAACACCATTGGTATAACTAACGTTTGCTGGCACTTATGGCTATAATGACCCACAATATGAAAGAACAGGATTTTTATCAAAAGAGTCGGATGTGTACTCGTTTGGTGTGGTTCTGTTTGAAGTATTGTGTGGAAGGCTAGAGTGTGTTTTTAGTTACCATGATGAGCGGAGATTCCTCCATCATTTAGCTCGGACGCGCTACAAAAATGGGGAGTTGGGTAAGATTATTAATCATAGAATAAAGAAAGATATCAAACCAAGAACGTTGAGCAAGTTTTCTGCTATTGCATATCAATGCTTGCATGAAACTCGAGAACAACGACCTACAATTGCTGAGGTTGTATTCCAATTTAAGGAAGCTAGGGAAACTCAAGTATGTTTGAATAATATTTTTATCGATTCCTACAAAAAAAACAAAGATTATCTACCTAAAAGTACTGACTTACTCACACATAGATTATTTTTGTTTCATCATCAGTTAGGAGATGAGGAAGATGAATTCTTATTCAGAGGATAAACGGAGGGAGTTCCCTTTGGTCAATGTTTATTAAACACAAGGGATACATGGATGTAGGACTTCAAAAAATCTATATGCTAAGTGTGTACAAATGTGCAATAAATCTTTGCTGTTTCTAAAAAAATTGTGTACAAATGTGGGTAAAATGTAACGTCCAAATATACAAAAATAGATAGAAAATGTATTTGGGTTTTTAATTCTTTTAAAAGGAATGTTATTTTGAAGCTTCGGGGGTGTTCTTTTAAAAGGATTGTTTTGTGTTCTTGTGTGTTGTATATATTCAAGGTTAAATATTACCAAGTTTGGCGCTGTTTGTTGAGATAGTTCCTTGGTTTTTATTTCTCTTTTTGAGCCCTAGAACGTTCTCAAGTTATTGGTATCTTCTTTCTTTTATTTAGTCATCAAAATGCAATCAATACCCCAAATGCAGTTTACTCTAAATTTTTTCAAATTAAGATTGTTAGAGAGGTTGAGAAGATGTTCAGTTGAAAGGTACTTCATTGTAATGAAAACCCTTTTGTGCTTTGTGAAAATGAAACTCAGTTACTTATTAACATTTAATTTTGATGATATGATGTGGTTTACATTGGTACTAGATGGATGGATAGTCCACCAAAGAAAGGCCTTGCAACTGAGAAACCTTGTTGGTGTGGCCTTAAAGTTGTGCATGATGCCATGCTGGAAGATGCGATGCACCATGGTGATATTGTAGGAAATGTGTTAGATATAGGTTTCTTGGGTCGAATCATTAAGGTGATCATCGATACAGCTCCTTCTATGTCAAACTCTTGTTACTAATACTTCTGGTCCCTGTTCTGAAAGAGTAGATAAGGGCTAAGGAATGGAAGAAAGTTTAAACAATGAAGAGAGAAAAGCTCAGAATGAGAAAATCTTAGAGCTTATGAGGCAACATTATTCTCTTCTTCGGAATAGAGAAGGTAAGAACATCATTATGGGAATTGTGACAAAACCAAGTATGCTGAAACAATAAGAAGTTTGGCGTTTGGTGAGGTTCATATATTCAATAAAGTATTGAGGTGTAGTTTTGCTTATGAAGACTTGATTGAAAATGAGATGGATTTACCAATTATTGTCAAAGCCTTTACTTACAAGAAATTCACAAAGAAAAGTGAACTCAAGTATTCTTCTGTTGAATATAATGAAATGAAAATTAGAATTCATGATGTCTTGTGAAAGGTTCACGAACAAGTTTGGAGTCTAAAGAATATTTAGAAGATAACTGAAGTGAAGAATGGTGATTTATTTTAAGAAACATTTCAAAATATTGTTTTCTAGGTTTTAAGAGGAACACTGAAGTTTCAGAATTCTCTCTTGTAGACTTTCCTTTGATGTATCTGAATGACTTGCTAACTTGCTAACTCTGTTGAAAATCTTAGTTGGATTACATAGAGATACTTATTCTTTTGCCTATATACATGTTAGATCGTTTGTGGTAATTTATTACCAAGAGATTGTATTTTCAAATTATGAACTTGCAAAATATTTGATAAGGTTGTTGACAACCCTAATATGAAGTTGAAGGGGTTATCTAAATTAAAAGATGGGCTGCCACTAGTAAAAAAAGCAACATTGGACACACCAAAAAAGTGTTACCATATATTCTTATCTACATGTTATTTTTTCAACTCAAGTTTAACCAAAGGTGGTGCCATTTTAGGTATTATACGGCCACATTCACATTTATTGGTCGTAGCAACTGTAAAAGTGTGGCTAAAAGGTACTAACATTTCTTGTTGTAATCAAGTATTCCATCCATTAAGTGTAGTGATAAACTCTTTCTAGACAAACATTCGTTTTTTAATATTGAATATTGTTCATCCAACGGTTACATGAAAAATATATTTTGTGACATTTTCTAGTCTTTAGTCATAAAAAGATTGTTTACTGATTTTTTTGTCAAATTCGATTTAAGAAAAACATGGCAAAAGTGTTATTGTAATCAAACATTATGTCAAATAGGTGTGGTAATAAATGATTTGTAGACACACAATTGCTCATCAGACGACCACATTAGTTTATTGTAATTATGCCCGTAGCTATTATTTAGTCGCATAAATGATTGTTTATTTAGTTTTTAGTCACATCGGTTTATGAAAAACGTGGCAAAAGTGTTGTTGTAATCAACCATTATGTTGAATAGGTGTCTCCATAAACGCTTTAAAGTCAAACGAACGTTTTTTTGATTGTGATATTTCCCATCCAACAGTCACATGAGTTTATTGATAGTATGGTCATAACTATTATTTAGTCACAAAAAGATTGTTTATTGAGTTTTTAGTCACATCGACTTAAGAAAATCGTGGCAAAAGTGTTGAGTAATAAAACATTATTTCAAATAAATGTGGCGATAAATGCTTTGTAGACACACAAGCATTTTTTGATGGTGATTATTGTTCATCAAATGGCCACATGAATTTATTGTTAGTGTTGTCGCAACTATCATTTAGTCACAAAACAATGTTTATTAAGCTTTTAGTCAGATCTATTTCAGAAAACCATGGCAAAAGTGTTTATAATCAAACATTATGTCGAATAAGTGTGGTCACAAATGCTATGTAGAAACAATGATTTTTTATTATGAGTATTGCTCATCCAATGACCACATGAATTTATTGTTTATTGTGGTCGTAACTATTATCTAGTCACTAAAAAAATTTATTGAGTTTTTAGTCACATCGATTTACGAAAAACATGGCAATGGTGTTGTAATAAAGCATTAAGTCGAATAAGTGTGGATATGAACCCTACTTAGGCACACATGCTTTTTTTTATTGTAGATATTGCTCATCCCATGGTCACACAAATATTATTTCACTACGCCCTTTGCTATTATTAGTCAGAAATAAAAATATTAAACTATGACCATTAAAAACTTATTGTCACTGTTATTTTTTTCTTTTAGCATGATCAGTATTGTAAAACCCCGACTAGGTACCGATTAATCTCCGATTACTCCGTAGGGACTACTCGACCGAATAGAAGGCGTCTAGCAATTACTCATTTTCTACAAAATGAGTGAAACAGTAGCAAACACTAAAATTTTAACACTTTGAAAAATTTCTATCTCAATATAAACTATTTGAGTAATGACTAGTGTTGTATTCATCACATTAACATGTTTTGATATGATAATCGTGGTATTTACGAACTTTGTTATCATATTAGTCATATTTAATTTTTTTAAACTCAATGAATTAACAATTCAGGGTCCTCACTTAATCCTCTAATTAAAACCAGCCTAACTAATTAATCATTTTACCCTAATCCACCGACTAGCTAACATCGGGTGACATTTTTATAATCTTGATCATGACTATTATTACTTTTAGTCACACATTTATATTTTAAAATGATTGTCGTTTTTATACTTACCTAGGAATATAAATACATTAGCGACCTAGTATTATTATTACATGCATCAAAACATGAAAATATACATTACAATGTAATATAAAACAAATTTTTATTAATAATAATTCAAACTTAAAACGTACACACAAATATTAAACCGAGAAAGGGAACTACATTTTTTCTTATGAACATTGTTCCTTTGCTTGCTTTATCCTATGTAGTGCTACATAACTCATCTTTTCATTCTTATATTTTTTATTTCATCCGCTTTATACCACGTAGTGTTGTAAGAGCTTGGAGGCAAGTAATCTAACATGATTCCTTGTGCGACGATAGAAATTGGTGGCTTTTACAATAATACTGCTACAAAAGCCTCTAATATCCCTGCTATACACATAAAAGAAATATAAGATCAGTTTACACAATAGGCCTAAACTATCATTATGTATTTCGGCTGGAAATGAAGGATGCATCATGTCAAAGTGCTTCTATGCTTCAGCATCGGATGGATGACACATTATACCAGCATCATGTCCATGATCCTCAAAGTGTCATCCCATGTACGTAGATGTGGCTTGTGAAGCATACCGTCTCTTCATAGATGGAGTCAGAGGAAAGTAGTGCATTCTCTTATAGGGTACACACGAACGTGTGGACAAACTTTTTGACGGTTTGTACATAACAGCATTGCAAAATTTGTACCGATCATGATCTTTGTCACCCCTCCAATATATGATACATCCAGACCTGCAACAATCAATCACCACCATAGGTAAACCTAGTGATTGTATTAACTTTTTTCTCTCGTCTAAACTACCCACCATGTTATTCTCCTTCGGTAATCCATCATTCATCAATTGGCTGATAACATCATAAAATTGTTCAGGGATGTGACACTTTGATTTTATGTTCAATAGTCTAACTACAAGAGACAACTTTGTGACCTTTTTACTTACAAAACACAACTCTTTATCAGCTACCTCTAGCATATAAAAAAAATTATCTTCTGTATTTGGCTCGTCATCAAGATTACTACTAATAAAACCTGGAGCATTGCATCTATAACCATTTCCCTAGAAGTAGATTTACGATCTTCTTTCAAAGTTGTGTATGTATCAACCTCCCTAAATCTGTATTATCATCGAAGGATGTTTCACCATGTTTATCCCAAAACTAGTAATTTGGAACAAAACCTGACTTGTACAAATGATGTTTTACCGTATCAGGCTCTATATATGGTATATTATGACATTTAATGCATGGATATTTGATTATATCTTCATCTATATACTTATCTTTACAAATAGCAAAGTCTATGAATTTTTGCACATCTTGTATGAAAACAAAAGAGATACAACCGCGATTATCATTTCTTTTATACATTGTTAGATGCATTTTATATGCTTCTATTAGCATATTTTTTCAATGTTTTCATGTAAAATGCTAGTTGTCTCCCTTGTTTTACTATGAATTGCGTATTTCTCATTATTTTCATAGAAAACCTATACTACTCACTTTTGTTATTATTTTTAGGGGAAATTAGCACAGATTGAGAATAAGACACCTTGAGGATGCGTTTGATGGAGCATTGGAGCCCAATTGGAGCTTGGAACTTATGAAGGATTTTGAGGAATGCTTGGAGGCTACTTTTATCAAGGAAAACGGACATTTTGCTCAAAATTCATGAAATTCGATTGTGTTTTAGGCAGAAACACAATCTGGTGAAGCCTTCAGAGATTGTTTGCCTCATTTTGAAGTTTAACGAAGAAAATCCACAAAATTCGATCGTGTTTTGGCAGTAATCACGATCGTGTTGATCCATTAAGGTTCAAAATCCCTAAAAAAATTAGTTGAATGCCAA